CTAGGCTTAAGGCAGTCGGCCGACGTGACGTCATGGTATAGGTACGGCGCGGGTGGAATTCCAGTCGAGGTGGTACAAAAAAAGTACTCAAACTCCGATACCAACACTAGTGGAAATGCAAAATAACCGCGCCGTACCGTTACTGTGGAAAAGCCGCATAAGGGAACGCCCAGCCACCCTTCAGAGGAAGCTATCTGCAATCTTGTTCTTTCGGTCATTACCCAAAGCTCATAACCATAGATGAGGGCCAGTAAATTGAGAGCTTTGCCTTTCGGTTCAGCTCCCTCTTAACCACAACGAGGTAAAGAGCACACTGCATGGATCCGCCTGTCAATCTCACGCTCCATCCTTCCCTGACTCGTGATCAAGACTCCGAGATACGTGAACTCCCGAGGTAACGTTCAGCAATATTTATCCCCTGCGTGCGTAGATTTTCCGCTCCTGTGGGCTCTGCCACGCATTTGCCGCGCAGTCTGTGCGTCTCTACCGCGCAGTCCGTGCGTCTACCGCGCAGTCCGTGCGTCTACCGCGCAGTCTGTGCGTCTCTACCGCGCAGTCCGTGCGTCTACCGCGCAGTCCGTGCGTCTACCGCGCAGTCTGTGCGTCTACCGCGCAGTCCGTGCGTCTACCGCGCGGTCCGTGCGTCTCTGCCGCGCAGTCTGTGCGTGCATCCCGAGACGCACATGCAGTTAGACGCTCAAACGCGCGTCACCATTGACTTTGCATTGAAAGATGCAAATTCAATGGCTGATTTTGATATATAGAAAGAGACATGCTGTGGAAGGAGCTGCTCTTGATCAAATTGTATGGGCTGGGTGGCAGGGTCTTTAATTGGATCAGAGATTTCCTTTTTGGACGGAAAATCCAGGTGCGGATCGGATCGAAGTATACTAAGCAGTTTACAGTGGACAATGGAATTCCTCAAGGTAGTGCAATAAGTCCTTTGCTTTTTTTCATCATGATCAATGATGTGTTCTCTACAGTGCCCGGCAGTGTTGGCAGGTCTTTGTTTGCAGATGATGGGGCGTTATAGTGTAGAGGGAGAAAAATTGTATATCTTGTGTGCAAGATACAAGATGCTGTCAATTGCATAATGGAATGGGGATGTGACTGGAGGTTTAGATTCTCAAAAAGATTCTTGAAAAAACTAAAACGGTCTTTTTTACCAGGAAAAGAGTTGGAGAAGATTTAAAACTACAGCTCTGTGGAGAGGAAATTGAGAAAGTTAGCTCATTTAAGTTTTTGTGTCTTATTTTTGACTCCCATTTGACTTTAAGAATTGAAGGTAAATGTAAGAGGGTGTCAGGGATGAAGCAGACAGAGACGGATCGTGGTGCGCCAAACTCTGGAAGTTTATTTAAGTTTCTCTCAAGTTCCAGTGGTTTCCTTTGCTTCCCTCTCTCAGACAGAATAAAGGCAGTACACAGTTTATATAGTCATTGTCACGTCACACATGGAAAGAGAGTCCTGCACGTAGGCCATATTGCTATCTAATACTAACAAGGGTTATAAATGTAATGAGATGTGTGGCTATGAGAAATTGGAGAGCGAGCTGCTCTGCACTTTTGAGGCCTTAACAAGCATGTGTGGCTTATGGGTCATGATATTTCTCTGTACAGACCGAGCAAGCGAGGTTAATATTTTTTTATTATATGACTATTTTTAATTTATGCAAATAGTGATCGGTTTCAATTAGCAAAAACACATGCAACCAAACTGTCAAATCGTGACATGAAGAACTTGCTTTTCAGATGATTGAGGTCGCCCTCTGTGTCTTAGTGCTGGACTCCACCGGCCGCGTCTCCGTTTACGCGCGTAGGCTGCTGCCTGTCAGACATCCGTAAAACGGAATAGTGGCCACACCGGCTTCAGCAGCTCTGGCTGTGCGTTTATCAGCACCCCGTGAGGCTTTGTTTTAAATAGAATAAGCGGTGTGTGATTTGCATGAGCTGTGGCTATGATCTATGTAAAGCACGGCATATTGAAGCATCGAGGACGTTGCGATGGATGAGGCAAAACTTATTGAAAGCAATTGGAAAAAGGGGAGAGAGAAAAGAGAAAAGAACTCCATGTCCAGGCTTTTTTGAAAGCGAGTCAATATTAACATTATTTCAATTTAATACATGAAAATAAATTACACACATTTGTTAATAATCATTGTCATTAACAAACACTTATTACCAAGGACTACAGCATATATCAATACATGTATAATAATGTGGTAAATATATTTTTCCATTGTATTTTCAATGGAAAACGGACCAGACACGTGTCAACGTATGTAAAAAATAGGATTGTTTCTATTTTGTCCGTCCGCTGCACCCTGGGTGGACAGACTGCTCCCTACGCTCATTATAAGGACGCATGTCGTATAATGAGCCACTTCCATTCACCCTCATGAAGAAAACGGAAACGGAGATGAAACGGACACGTTTGGACGGATAAGTAGTACGTTTTACGCAGCCGGTGGAGTTGGGGCCTTACTCTTTACCAATGCTTTTTAGATATTTGTGAAGTATGTTCTCTTCTTGACTGTTAGGAGTTGTGTTTTCGTCGTTATTTGCTGTTATTACTTCCTCTGGCTCTTCGAACTCGTCCGGATAATAGAATTCTCTGGGAGAACGCTCCCAGTCGTCGCTCATTATTTCTTTTTTACCGAGGAAAGGTATCAAATTTGATACGCGCTGCGAACCAATTGTCATGGTAACTGTCCGAGATGGGAAAATATCAGACCGCAAATCAGCCAATCAGAGCGCGCGTAAGATCCAAGTCATATATTAATAGTTTATATACAGGGTTCTTTCATATACTGTATATACATGGTTCTATCATATCTTAGTGCATGTACAAGGCTCTATAATCTATATGTGTATATACAGGGTTCTATGATATATTAGTGTATATACAGGGTTCAATCATATAAGATAAGATAGACTTTATTGATCTCACACAGGATAAATTTACATGTCACTTCTGGCATGGATAGAATCACTCAAGATTGTGCAAAAGAAAGAAATGTGAAAACATGTTAACTGCAGGATATACTATGTACAATAAAAAGTGACAATCAAGAATCAGTGTCAATAGTAGTGCAGGTTTTTCAGTCTTAATACAAGTGACTTAAAGTGACTTATTGTACAGTCTGACAGCGGTGGGGATAAAGGCCCTGCGGTAGCGCTCTTTCTTGCACTGAGAGTGTCTCAGTCTTCCACTGAGAGAGCTCCTCAGCTCCTTTACAGTCCTGTGCAGTGGGTGGGAGGTGCTGTCCATGATGTAGGTGACTTTGACTAGCACCCTCACCCTCACCTCCTCCATAGTCTAAGGGGTAGCCCAGAGTGGAGCTGGCCCTCCTTACCAGCTTGTTCAGTCTACTCCTGTTCCGCTCTGTGCTGCCCGGGGCCCAGCACACGACAGCGTAGTGTATGGCAGAGGCTACCACAAAGTCCTCTGAGCAGAGGCCCGCTCACTCCGAAGGACCTCAGCCTCCTTAGAAGGAAGAGGCAACTTTTCTTGTACAGGGCGTTTGTGTTATGGGACCAGTCCAGTTTATTGTTAATGTGAACACCCAGGTACTTGAAGCTGTCCACCAGCTCAATGTCTTCCCTCTGGATGTTCAGCAGCGTGTGGGAAAGTATAGTTTTCTCCTGAAGTCAATTACCATCTCCTTAGTCTTACTGGTGTTCAAGCACAAGTGGTTGCCCTCCCACTAGTCGACAAAGTCCGTGATTACCGACCGATATTCCAGTTCGTTCCCCTCAGACACACAGCCCACAATGGCGGAGTCGTCGGAGAACTTCTGCAGGTGGCAGCTGTGTGTGTTGTATTTCAAGTCTGAAGTGTAGAAATGGTGAGAGGACAGTGCCCTGAGGGGCTCCAGCACTGCAGACTACCACCTCAGACTCACAGCTGCGCAGCCGTATGTACTGTGGTCGGTCCGAGAGATAGTTGATGGTCCATGCAGTGAGATTACTGTCCACTCTTGCGTCCTCCATCTTCCCCTGCAGCAGTGCCGATTTGATAATGTTGAAAGTGATGGAGAAGTAAAAAAACATGACCCTCAAAGCGCTCCCGGCCTGCTCCAGGTGGGAGAGCGTCCGCTGCAGTAAGTAGATGACAGCGTCCTCTTCTCCGACGTTAGGCCTGTAGGCGAACTGCAGCGGGTCCAGGGAGCAGACCACAGAGCAGAGATGGGTGAGGATGAGCCGCTTCATGGTCTTCATCAGTTGGGAGGTCAGTGCGACTGGTCTGTAGTGAGCCGGTTCCTTGGCGTGCGCTATTTTAGGAACCGGGATTACACAGGAGGTCTTCCACAGGACAGGGACCTTCTCCAGGCTGAGCCTCAGGTTGTTGATGTAGCTGAGGACCAGTGCATATACAGTATTTTAGAATATATCGGTGTGTGTATATATGTATTATACATACATATATTGATATATTGGTGTACAGTATGGTTCTATTCTATCATAGTGTTTATACAGGCATCATATATTTGTGTATATAAAGGGTCCGATCATATGTTAGTGTATAACTGTTAAATGTCACTTGTTGCATAATTTTCCATACATTTCACCTGAAAGTCAAATGTCCCTAACTTTTGTATGAGCACAACATTGTGAGTTTTGCAAAAATAACAATCATACATTACATAATCATATCAGAATATTATAGTACTGTTGAACCCACTATGAATAATAATATACGCCAAACCATGTATCCTGTATCATAGCTACATGTGTAACATTTACAGTAAAGAATAAAGTGTAAAAAAGTATTCGATGAGTTATTATTGATTAAAGGCGCAGTGACGTGTCTGCCTTTGCTAAACAGTTTACACTGAGAGGAGCGGGCGACCGGTCCAAGATGGCGGCCCCACGGCGGTAGATGCGGCGTCTACTCTTTATATACCATGGGTGACAGTGCGCAGCGTGTCTGCGCATGTCTATAGTTTCTCTCAGATGGCTGGTTCCTTGACTGTTGTGTTGGGTCTCTAGTCCCTCATCATGTCTGATCGAAGGAAATGTGTGTTCGGGTGTAAAGGGGTGAATACTCTGTTTGGATTACCCAAAGCGGAAGATCAACGCGGGCCCTGGCTGGACTTTATCCACAGCCACGACCTGGAGCCTCAAACATCGGGAAAGAACATTTTAGTTTGTGACCGCCACTTCACCAGTGACTGTCTCCAGACCTGCGGCTACTTTAACTCGGGCCTGTCCCAGAAGCTCATATTGAAACTATTTCCCTCTGCTGTTCCAACAATCAAGCCCGTTATCATTAAGGAGGAAGCTGACATCAAAGAGGAGCCGGCAGATGTAAGTACGGTGCTAATGCAAAGAGCTAGCATCACAGAGGATCTTACAGAAGTACAATGCTAATGCTTTAAGCTAGCATCACAGTGGAGCCAGAAATACAACGCTAATGTTGTGTTGTGAAATGAGCCTAACAGATATAGTAGTTCAGCGGTAGTTGATTTGTTTTATAGCCGTAAGTGACTTTAGGTCGGGCTAAGTGTTATCCCCCTCAACCCACAGGTATCTGTAGCTCTTTATAAACTACAGTTAATTTCGTGTTTCGGGTCGGGGTTGATAGACGTAATGGACTTCAGGTCGAGCTAAACGCGTGCCACCGGTTAAGGGCGTTAAAAAAAACAGTAGAGGGTGCTATCAAACCAGCAGAGACTGGTACCACTTACCTTTTCCTCTTCTTTCACTTTAATTCTAATCTATGCTTCTGTTCCAGATCTCTTTGGAGCAGTATAATCACTTTGAGGGAGCTTCCGTTTCAAAGTCTGAGTTCTCTCCATCTGCGGATCGCCCTGTGTCTCAGAGTCTGTCCCTGTGTGCAAAGAAACCTCCAGAGACAACTCTAAAGCCTCCACTCACCCGCTTTAAAAGAGGAAAAAAGTCTATGTTCACCCAGCTGTCCCCCCACACCTTCAGATCCATCAGGAGCAAAGGTATGCAGTGTATACTTAGGGTGAGCAGAGATATGCAGTGCAATTAAGAGTGGGTGTGCTGAGGTACAGTGTTGTTACGAGAGGGTGAGCAGAGGTGCACACTGTGTCATTATGAAAGGGTGAGACAACCCCCCCCCCCCCCACCCCCACCCCCACGGGACCCAGAGGTTAAGCCAGGATCTCATCCTAGTCCTCTCCTTTACCTCTTCCTAGGCCTCGATCTCCTAGTCCTCTCAGTCTCATGATGTTGTGTTTTCAGCTGTCCAGGCTTCTCCTGCGATCATCAGAAAAGGACATCAGACTAAACCCTGGATCGAGACTCGACCCAAGAAACGGCCGCGGCTCGACCTCGAGGAAGAGGAGGATGAGGTGGTGTTTAAGGCTTCATCCCATGGACATGAGGCTCACATGTAAGTCTGCAGGGGTGTGACATCACAACTCTGTGACACCACATCTGTGTATATGACATCACAACAAGTCTCCAGAGACAGAAACATTCATAGAGACTGTGTTGATATCCCTCTCCCACAGAGACCCAGAAGCCAGCTATGAGGACACCAAGTACATAGTGTTTGAAAAGAATCTGCATGAGCTGTTTGAGCAGTGTCCGGTGTGTGCATGTGCGTGTGCGGTGCAGAGGAAGAGACGTGGATCCTTCGTCTCCTTCCTCCAGGTTTGTCCCGGGTGCTCGTACAGCCGCTCGTGGCAGAACCAGCCTCTGGTGAGGAGTACTCCTGTGGGCGACCTCCAGCTGGCTGCTGCTGTCTTCTTCTGTGGGGGGTCCTTCCAGAAGACACACAGGGTAATCTCAGTGTTCACATATTATACTCAAAACCTATGTCTGAATTTATAGCTTTTCATTTGCTAATGTCTGCAGCTTCAACTTTATTTATGCAATATTCTCTTTGTCTGTTAGATCTGCAAAGGACTGAATCTCCAGATCCCCCAGCTGGACACATTCAGGAAACATCTGCAGATGTATCTACAACCAGCTGTTTGCCATAACTGGAAGATACACCGGGAAAGTGCGTTTGACCGACTAAGAGAGCAGAGGGAGCTCCCTGTGGCCGGAGACATGAGCTTCCATTCTCCAGGTAAGAAGCACTGAGAGACTTGAGATCTGACTCTCAGGGAAGAAGCCTTCAGAGACATGAAGTTTCACTCTCCAGGTAAGATCTACTGAGAGGTTAAGAGAGCAGAGGGAGTGTGGCTGGAATCAGAAGGTCAATGTATTTCAACAGTACATGACTTGCGACTCATGATTAACTTGTACCAGCCCTAATGGATAAATCTTCATACATAGATAAATGTAGAAAAATAAAGGCCATTTGTGATTCTACTTCAGGACCGGAAGCCACAGTGGGAAGTTACACCACAATGAATCTGAAAAACCATGAAATCCTGAACATTGAACTTGTACAGGTTTGTGTCATTATCACCGGCCTTTGGTGTGACATCACTGTGTTCTTAAGCTGAAGTGATATTTTGTGTTTCTTTGGTGCAGAGCAAAGACATTGGTGAAAAAAAAGTGAAAGGTCTGGAGACGCGAGGCCTGAAACGAAGCCTTCGGCGGCTGGAGGCCGGCGGAGTGAAGGTGGACTACATGGTCACCGATCGACGATCCAATGTCCAGAAGTATCTACAGAAGAAACAAATCCCCCAGTTCTATGATGTGTGGCATTTGGAGCAAGGTGAAGACTTAACTCATATGAGATCCTGACCCCTGACTCTGACCTTAACACGATCCTTGACCCCGACCCCATTCCTTATCCCTGTCCATGACTGACCCTGATCCTGACTGACCCCTGACTGTAATTCTGTCCCCTGACCCCTGACGAGTTCCTCTTAATCACAGTCAAAACAAAATATGGTCCTGGGCCTGGACCTGGATCACAGAAACAACGTGAAGAGACTGTTCCCACTTTTGAAAAAAAAAAAAGTGTCAAAAGTCCAAAACTTCAGAGCGTTGGCCTCATAAAGAGTTCGGACCCTTGTTTTTGCTCCACATAGTTCTCAGATGCGGACTGTGGCTGTACTGATCAGCGTTAATTTTTACAAGAAATTCTAATTTTCACAAGGAATTCTAATTTTCTGAAACAATTTTTTCATGACATTTGTATAAATAGTACAGTATTATTGCTTGTAGCCTACCATGACAAATGTGACACAAGTAGCTTCTTTACTTTAGGCTACTTTATTGTTCATGTCACATGAATGTTACTCGTACATTGGAGCAATCTTGTTTTTATGGAATATCATTTCGCACAATAAAACAAAATTAAGTCTAAGCAAAGAAATGTACCTTTGAAAAAAATTATTGTAGCCACTTGAGTGTTATACATTTTTTGTCCACATGATGGCATTAGAGCAAATTAATCACCTTGAAGATTTCAACCATGTTAAAGCTGCGATGCCTCTTCACAGGGCCCTAAATTATATCTTCTCTAAATCAAAACTTGATGTCTAAAACAAATGAGAAAAGAAAATGTGACCAATTTAGGAGTAGTGCCCGTGTTACTTACTCAAACAACAAATATGCATTTGCACAAACTGTCCCCCTTTAATCACAGATTAAATGTATATTGCAAAAACTGCTCTTGATACCTTATTTTCCCAGCAAGCAGAAAAAATATTTTTAATACAGACGCAAAAAATATATGAATATGGTAATGAACTTGGGTCCCTTCTTTCTAAGCTTCTTAAAAACCACAAAGGGCATCACACTATTTCCTGCCTTCGAAATTCCAGTGGTAAGAGGCAATTTACATAAAAGGAGACCAATAATTTTTTCTATAATTACTATCAATTATTATACAAGTTAGACGTTTAGGTAGAGTCAGTTTCAGTGTTTTCTTACTTGAATAGTTTAAATCTACCAGCAGTATAAATGACCAGGAGCAGGGAATTTTGAATGCACCTTTCTATGGCCTCTGTGAGGCCATAGAAAATCTGGCTTCTGGTAAAGTAGCCGCCCTAGATGGATAGCGGGCTGAGTTTTATAAATCATCATCATAAATCAGATCTCTTAGCTCCACTTCTTTACAATATGTTTATGCACTCTGTCTATATAAAAATTACCAAAGTCTATCCAAACGGCTGCAATAACACTCACTCAAAAACAGGACAAGGACCCAGAAGATCCAGCTTCCTATAAACCAATAAGTTTGCAAAGTATAGAAAAAACAATCGTAGCTAAAGTATTAGCCAACAGGTTGAAGCCAATCTTAAACACGATCATTAAATCAGACCAAACAGGGTTTGTGCAAGGCCGTTACTCACATACAGTGTTGGGCACGTTACTTTGAAAAAGTAAAGTAACTGAGTTACTAACGGAGTTACTCCACTATAAAAGTAACTAGTTACTAGTAAAAGTAACTATTGCGTTACTTTTTCGTTTTGTTCTGGAACATAATGTGCACTAAATGTGCGCATTTTTACCTTTAACCTCAGTGAGTTTGAAATATTGCCAATATTTCCATCTAGAAAAGGCTGTTTTGCCGCTGAAGTCCTGTTCACTCTTCATCTCTCCCTGTGCTGTAAGCACTAAACACCAACACCCACCACTGTGAATGTGGAAACACCGGTGAAGCACTGACTTCAGCCTAATCAGATGAACATATATATCATATAAATCAACAGGACCAAGAGAGCGGCTTATTCAGTTTGTTTGGCTACAGCAGAATATGTTTCATGCCTGCATTGTTTGTTCATACAAAACGAAAAATTATGAGTTGATGGGTCTTACCTTATAAATGACCTGCACAGACCACTTCAGTTCAGACCAGTTCTGTGTTTAAGTCCAGATAATAGTTTGAGCGTAGATATGTAATCCTCCATTTGGAAATGAGTTTTAAAAAGTAAAACAAAACGCGTGTGTCCTCCATAAACTCCTCTGTTTTGCTAGCTGCAGCCGGGTTCATCCAATTTCTAAAATCAACCGTCTTACACTTCACCTCTTTTTCTTATCATTCCTATAGTCATTGAAAAAATTACCCTAAGTGCATTTTAAATTATCTTAAAATGTGTTATATGTATGTTAGCCGAACCTGTTGCTGCCCTTAGCAGATAAACCAGGAAGGGAAAGGAGCTTATCGATGGAATTGTATGCAGCCGACTTCTGCGCTCACATGCGCTCCTCTGAGGCTGGCCTCACGGTAATACAAGCCGTGGTTGAGCGCGATTGAGACCCATATTTGTTTCAAAAACACAATCCATCCTCTCAACTGTAGACATGTAGATTGTAAAGGAAATATGTTTTACATCAGCCAATAATTGCTGATTATCAATTCTCGCATGACAACACACGCACGAGTCCTATCACGAAGTAAAAAGAGAAGTTCATTGTGCGTCTTGAGTAACGCGCAGTAACGGGATGTCGGAAATGATAACGGCGTTATAGTTACAGTCAAAGTAATTAGTTAGATTACGCGTTACTGAAAAAAATAACGGCGTTAGTAACGCCGTTATTCCCATCACTGCTCACATACAACTGTAAAACGCCTCTTAGGAGTCTTACAGTACGCTAAGAATAAACAGTTGAATGCCATGATCCTCTCATTGAATGCGCTGTGTATAAGAAGGGATGGTGTAGGTTGTACTTTTTGAGGCGATTGGCATCATTCAGGGTCTGTTATATCAGTCTGTTGTGTCTAGTGTCCTTTTTTTATGCTGTGGTCTGTTGGGGGGGCAGTGCAAGAAAGGGGGACAGAGAGGCTGAACCGGCTCATTAGAAAGGCGGGCTCTCTGGTGGGTCTGGATTCAGTGGAGGAGGTGGTGGAGCAAAGAACACGCCCCAAGATCAGGGCAATCTTGTCCAATCAGAGCCATCCCCTTAACTCGTTTTTTTATCCTGCCAGAGAAGCACCATGAGCTCCAGACTCCTCTCTCTGAGGTGCTCCAAAGACAGGCTTAAAGACTCTTTTGTCCCCAACGCCATCAGGCTCTATCACAAAGTCACTTCAGGGAGAAGCGGGGGGGAGGAGGGAAGGAGATGTCTTGAGAATTGTCTTGCATTGCCTTTACTTCTCTTCTAATGATTTTTGTGTATTTTATACTTTTTTTTTTTTTTTTTTTTTTTTTTATTATTATTATTTTTTTCTTGGAAAACACTTTACTGTTTTTCTTTTATCCAAAATGGTTGTCCAAAGATTAGTAAATACACACAGCTGAAACAGGAGGCCTGTCAATACATCGTTCGAGTGGCGAGAAAGGCAGCTCTGCAGAACAGTTCAGTGAGGAGGCAGTGTCTCCGTATCGTCACTATTCGACTCTTACATCCACTGGAGCTTTTTTTCCTATCACTGAGTTTGAATGGCAGTCAATGCAATTTCCATTTGTCAACAAAACCACCACCACCAGTCAGCGCCTCTTGCCACTCCAACGGCGTGAAGACGTGTGACCCCCGACTCGTCACGGCGAGAGATAAGACGTGTTTTTCAAGTCAGTCTTATTAAGCAGCAGGTGTAGGTCAGTGCTGAAGCCACGGTCACAGTTCACACAGGAGTCGTGGCGGTCACCCAAGGAGAAAGACTCAAACAGCGGATCCACATGCTGTAGGGACCAGGACAGGCTGTGAGTAATGGTGCGTAGTAGTGGTGGTCCCAAGCCCCGGCGATCCAAGATGGCGCCCTATTCAAATAAATGGTTGTGCTCAGTGGCGCTTTGTGACGGCATGGGGGCTGAAAGATTAGCGGAAGTCGCCTGGAACTCGCAAACATCTATGTGAAACTCTCAAAGATCTATGGGAAACTCGCCTGTATTTGGGCATCGTCTGGTCCTCCCGGTTCTGCGCACTGGATGATAAAGCGTTGCGCCAAACACGCGTGTGTGGGTCTCACACCGGGTCTCACGCACGTGCACAGAGGGGCTCGGCCGTGCTCTGACCAATCAGAGCGGGAGTTAGAGCGAGAGCCAGACGAGCAGAGTTTGTGGCACTAAAGTGTGGATTTAAACAAAACCGAAGGATTTAAGAAGAAAAAAAGTTCAGGATGACAAGGGACACTAAAATCCCCACAAAATCCGACCTTTATGAAAGCTGTAGGCTCTCTGTCAGCTGAGGTTGAGCTGTTTTAATACGCATTGAGTTCTATGGGGAAAATGTCTGGGTAGCCCACGTGAATTTAGTCTGGTTCAGTCTGCAGTACCGCGAGAATCCCCCGAGCACATGAGTTATTCAGCTACAAGCTAGTAATGCCCTATCCAGTTATTATAATAGATCCATGGGTGGTCCAAGCCCGGGCTGTGGGTGCCGCTGCTGACGCTTGACTCACGCACAAATTAGGACACTTGGATATTTACATCAGTGAGAACTGCGACCACGCTTGGGACACGTAAAGTAAACAATATCGCGTTTTCGTGTTTTTGTTTCCCATTTTATTGTCTTTTTTTAATTATGTTTTTATCTTTTAACTCTATCCTATGTTTGTATGATTGTGAGCAAGGGACCAATGCACAATTTCCTTTTTGGATCAATAAAGTATATATCAATATCTTAAGGACCTGGAATACTTTCAAAAGGAATTTTCAATTAACCCAAACTATTCATTTCTAGCTGCAATAGCAGATAATCCACATTTTATTCCTTCTTGTTTAGATAAAGGTTAAAGGGAATGGGAAAAACTTGGAATTAAAGTAATACATGATCTATATGATGGTAGTGTCATACAATCTTTCTGTCAGTTGCAGGAATCATTTCACTTATCAAACTATGACTTCTTCAGGTACTTTCAAATTAGACATTTTATTAACTAAATTCCACAGTATAAACGCATACTCCAACCTCACTGCTTAGAAAAAATGCTCTTTTATAATCACTTTACAGAAAAAAAAAAAATCTTACATTTATAGTCACAGTGCATAAAAGTCTTTGGAGCATGATCTTGGTACACAACCCAAGCCACAAGAAATTCATCAATACATCAATTACAAACTACTCCATATCAATGGAATGATTGTTCTTGGTGCATGTGTGCACTGGTTAGAGGATGCTGGACCACGTATCTCTGATTGGTTTAGAATATCATAAACCTCTTCCCATTGGAAAGATTAACTTTTCTTCTAAAAGGAAATACCGACACCTTCTTTGAAATCTGGAATCCTGTTCTGGATTATGTTGGAGAAGATTCAGCTAGAATATTAAAGAAAGGCATCTCTGTCTTATAACTTGATATACTGAAGTGGCTAGTGATGTACTACTATTTTATTGTTTCTGTTATAACATATGATCCGTTTATTTTTACTGCACATGTACAGTAAAACTCTTAAAAACCATTAAATAAATAGAACAAAATAGCCGCTAGCCATTGCACCTTTTTTGCTGATTCACTTGTCGACATTCATTCATTAATTCATTATCTACCTCTTTATTAGTCCATTTATGGCTCAGGGGGATTGTTGGGGCTGGGTTCACCAACAATTATGCATAAAAGGAAAAAAAAAAGACAAAGCTTGCAAGTGAGAAGCCGTCACAGATCAAGACCCAGGTACAATCTAGTCTAATCAATGTGATTCCTACAACTTCTGGGCTCTGTCACTCAATTTTATTACGTTTTCACGCCCCTAGTTACAGGCACAAGGTCAGCCCTAAAGGGAGGGGGAAACCCATACGGCTGACTTGTGAAAAAACTTTGAATGTAACTAACAAGATGCAGTTGATAAGTCACCGCTTCTCGGAAAGCGTGCCCTTCCCCAGGACATTTGTAGCACTAGTATTGCAGTACACACATCTATATTACAGGAACAAGGACTGTAAGATTATAAGGAGTGTTTTATATAAAACAGTTGCACCTTAGGTTATACCTGTGCAACACAAATGGTTAAAAACAAAGCAATGGTAAAACATAATGATTATACAATTTTTCCAACAGGGGTGGCATTGAGAGCTGCCACCCAATGCTCATAGCACCAGTCCCTCGCTGATCCCCATGCAGGTGGTGGGTCCATGGGAAAATGGCTGCTCTGTCAACATTGACACAGACACTTGCCCAAGGTCTGTGTCAATGTTGAAGGGGGGCGAACCCACGACCTTCAGGCCCAATGGCAAATGCTCTACCAACTGAGCCACTGTCGTCCCCCTCCTGGTTGAAATTCCTTCTCCGAAATAAATACCGGTTAAACTGAAATGGTTTTTGTGCACCACCATAAACTGTTACGCAGAAGTCAAATTTAAGATGGCATAATAAGGTAAACTCGATGGTCCTGGTTGAGGCGTCAATCTCGCTCGGACCTACGTGACTTGTGTTTGTTGTTTTTCTCTGATCTGTTGTTGAATCCATCTTTAAAATTTCCTCCTGCAGAGTTATCAAGCAGACTGGACAAGCTGTCGGAGAAGTTCCTGATTGTGAAGAAGTGGTCAGCAGCAATAAAACACCACATGTACTGGGTTGCTGCTTCGTCCAAATCTGAAGAAGAGAAAGTCGCAAAGTGGATTTCTCAAATGAATCACATGCAGGACATCCACCAGCACGACAACCCTCTGTTCCCCTCCTGTGTCCACTCAGAAAGAGAGACCAGGGACCCAGAGAAGTGGTTCAAGCCAGGTCAGTCAACAGACTTGTACAGATACCAGAAAGAGACCAGAGAGAACGACCATGGTGAGAGACCATGGTGAGAGACCATGGTGAGAGACCATGGTGAGAGACCATGGTGAGAGACCATGGTGAGAGACCATGGTGAGAGACCATGGTGAGAGACCATGGTGAGAGACCATGGTGAGAGACCATGGTGAGAGACCATGGTGAGAGACCATGTTGAGAGACCATGTTGAGAGACCATGTTGAGAGACCATGTTGAGAGACCATTGAGCGAGACCAGAGAGAGATACCACGTTGGCTTGTGGCTGAAGAACCCTGTTTCTCATGTTTCAGGCTCTATACCTCTGCTGGAGGTGGAGAAGCTCCTCCTAAATTGGCGAGTTCTGCGTGACATTCCAAAGCTCTGTTCTAATCACCATGCAGCTTCACTCCACGCGTTTCATGACGTCATCCGGATGTTTGCTCCGGACTCAGAACACTGCTCTGTCGCGGAGAGAAAGTGCAGGTACAACTCTAAATGAATTACACATTTTAGGAATTGTATTAAATTGACCTCCTGGCCTTAAATGTTGATATAAAATAAGTCATTTTATGAATTATAATATTATGGACAAGTCCCGCCTTCCCTTCTCTTAGCTATAGCTAGAAATCCACGATGCCGTCCACTTTAACCAATCAAGTGATGCCAAGGGCTGTCAATCATTGCGCTCGTGCTCATATATAACTCTAATATTAAATGTATACACATATATTCGAACGAATAGTAGTCCGCCCTTAATATTCAAAGCTGTAGTGGGCATTATCTTTTTTAAATGATATATAAAATAGTTCCCAAAGGTTTTTCCTGATGTGGCTAGACGGGTAACAGCTAGGCTAGCTTACTAACTAGAACTCTCTGGAACTACATGAAAAGTGAACAAAGAATTCTGAACATTTGCGGTGAGTGACCCAAGTATATAGACTTAACCTAAATCCATAATCAGATCCTCTGCAAATGTGTCCTAACATTTTCTACTAATGTTAATAGTTACTTCCGGTTTTACCCGCTTTTTGACGCATTAAAACTGTGTGAAGAATGTATATGTATAATGTATTCTCTGATTAACATTTAAATTAATTATTGATTGAGATTTGTGGTATTGACCATGGCTAGCTTCGTTAGCTTCTCACACAGAAGTAATAAGTGATGCGCTGAAAGCCCGTTGTGACGAAGTGTGCGAACTACTGTCCAGATCAATTTTACACACCTGAAGTACAAGCAGAGTGCGTTGCCAAAGGGCAGCGGTCATTATTGGTTTGAGAGTCTGTTATCAAGAAATAATGATCGGTAGAACATTTTGAAATTACATTCATGTCAATGGAGCATTCTACTGCTGCTGTGAGGAGCTGTATAATGCATTATGATTAAATATTGGAATATTTAAATGAATAATCTCTCCTCTGGTGCGTGCACGGAAAAGTAGGCACGGCTTCAACACCAATCAGAAAGGAAGGGGGAGGAAGCTTGGGTCGTTTTTTTTTTTTTTTTTTTTTTTAATCATGTCCCTCTCTCTTTTTAAAAAAAACTCCAGACTATCACTTTAAACATGTGTTTTTTTCCAGGATGTTCCTGGCAGCGATGCACTACAATGAGAACATGGCGCACGAACAGGAAATGTGCGGAAGTGATTTTCTGTTTCCTGAATCGAAGCAGTCATGTGCCACAGTGAGACCCAGATCCAGCTTTGGTAGGCTTACAGTGGAATCGCTCTCTTTGTCCCTAAGACTAAAAGTGTGTTAGTGTGTGTAATATCTAGACAGATTAGTGTTGTCAGTTAAATGTGTTAATAGCGGTGTTAACGCAAATCTATTTTAATGGTATGAATTTTGTGATCGCACGAATAACGCAAGTTTGTGTTTTGCCTGAAAACGGCGTCACTACACTGCAATAATATTTGTGGGTAATTTTCAGCTGAAAATCCCCTGGCTGTTTGGCTCGGTGCTCCAGGCTTCTACCATGGGCCCATATCTGATCCAGCCTTGTACCACAGGGTTGGGTTTTGCATGTGACCGTAGCCTCGAGGAGTGTTCACACTCGATCATGCTTTGCGGGGGCTTTCAATGCTAAGTCAATGGTGACATCCAGTGCTTTAAAGTGATTGTCTGGAGTTTGTCAGAAAGACAGAGAGGTGCTTGATTTGAAAAAAATGACGCCAGCTCCCTCCCTCTTCCTTTCTGATTGGTCTACACCTACGTTTCCGTAACACTTTTAAATGTTAATCAGAGAACACATTATACATATAAATTATTAATACACATGCAAGGAGGTTTTCAGAATTATTTGTGAACGTTTTAATGAACAAAATGTTTTTATGCACAAAAAAAGCGGTCGCAGTAAACCGGGAACAAGCTATTATCATGAATTGAACATTGTAGGACACATCTGCAGAGGATCTGATTATGGATATAGGTTCAGTATATACATGAATACCTCGGCGCGGATGTTCAGAATTCTTTGTACAGTTTTCATGAAGTTCCAGAGCCTAATAGAGGCTTGATTCGGAGGCTCCGCGAAAACAAACAACTGAGCATGTGCGCAGCTGCGAGCATCAGCGCCGATGATTGACAGCCCTTGGCATGACTCAATTGGTTAACGTGGCGGCACCGTGGATTCTGAGCTATGGCTAAGAGAAGGGAAGGCGGGACTTACCTGTAATATTAGAATTAATAAAATGATTTATTTTATATCAACATTTAAGGCCAGGAGGTCAATTTAACACATTTCCTAAAATTTGTAATTCATTTAGAGTTACAGACTATCACTTTAAGGGCACGGTCACACACGAACATAGCGACCGCTAGTGTGTGTTTGTGTGTGTTCTGGTGATTAAATAAATACTGACTCTTGAATGTCTGAAGTGTTATTGCAATAGCACCACACTGAGAGCGAAGGTCAGGACAGAAGAGAGCTATACCCGTAGGAAACGCTTTTCTTTGGCCCTGCAGAGAGACACTCCCCCAGCACCCCTCGAGCACGGTTCGGGGTTTATATGAAAGGTTTAACACAAGCGGAAAATACGAAAATGCAGGAGAGACGTGTGTGAGCACAATTTCAGGAATCATGCTCTGGCGCGAATGCCGCGGTCAGATGTCACCTAAAGCCCGGATCAAACTGTGAAGCGGGCCCTGGCACACTTTAACCGGGCTTTAGGCTGCGCATGTGACCGCAGCCTAAGTGGCCCAAAATAAGTGCCGGCACTCTATTTTTTATTTTTTTGCCCAGTGGAATGTTTGCATGTTTTTAATACAAGGGTAGGCGCACCGTGTAGAATAAGTAACTTTAAGTCACTAATGCACTAGGACTGAAAAAAACCTGCACTGCTATTGCCACTCTTTCATTTATGGCCACTTTTTTATGGTACACAATTATATCCTGAACAGTCTATATGCAGGATATATGCTATTCTATATTTTTAACCTTTAACATGTTGCAAACTTCTGTCTTCAGCACAATCTGAGTGATTCTATCTGTGCCAAATGTGACATGTACATTTCCCCAGTGTGAGATCAATAAAGTCTAGCTTATCTTATCCGATATACATTTGTTTAGGGATATGCTTGAGCTATAGAAAGAGCTACGGAAAAATGAAAAATAATGTGCAAATTATTTTACCTAGAAAAGGCTGCAGCGTGCTTTGGGCTCCACTTTCCTTGCACTTGGGGCTTCAAAGGTTGTGGATGCTGCACTTCTCCCTAGTGGCAGCCGTGTCTGCACATCCATGCATTAAACTGATCCGAGTTTAGTCCTTGCATTTAAATCTGATTTAAAAGTATTTTTTATGTCAAGAGAGTTTGACCGCGGCACAAGTGCTTTTCATTTGTCTGACCTTTTTCATTTCATTTCATTCTGGCTTAACAGCCGTAACAGCGCGTACACACAGCACAAAATGCGTGCCCGTTAAATCAGCGAGGAGTTTACACACCACACACAGTGACAGCATCAGTCTATGGTCTCTTCGTTCTGTCGAGAAGAGCCGCGCTCGCTCACTGCACTCCCGGTGTGTACGGATTGTTAGTGTTCATCGTATTTTAACCGAGAATCTGAACTCCACGTTGAGTTGGTTACCACGGCCAAAGTGATGCATGCGTCTTCCCCTCGTAAAACTTATGGGTAATGTAGTCTCTGCTCTTGGTGAGACGAAGGAGCAAGCATGCAGTGTGAAAAGCGCTTTGAAAGCAGTACTGTGTACTGGCGCATACCGTCCCACTTAAAGCACTGGTGACGTCCGTTCAACTGTGGAACTGAATCTGCGTCGCTGCAGATAGAGACACACGGACTGCTTAGTAGAGACGCGGTAGAGGCGCTGCAGAGGCGGATGAGCGGAAACTTGACGCACATAGGAGATGGACATTGTTGAACTTTTTCCGCCGGTCGCTCGCGCAGCGACCAATCAGAGAGCGGCATAGTAAACAGACTGAAAATACTCAAACAGCCTAAACAGGAGCAATGGGGACACTGCTTGTGAACGCATGACTCCATTCTGAGTTATCATGCTCCCTGACTTTAAACAACTGCTGCTAATGTGTTCTTGATGCTGAAGCACAGTTTAATAATAAAATGAACTTGTGTCAGAGTGCCCCAGGGCAACTGTGGCTACAGTAGTAGTTTATCACCACCGTGTATGGAGTGAAAGATTGACATGTAAAGTGTCTTTGAGTGTCCAAAAAAGCGCTATAACCGATTTATTATTATTATTATTATTATGGTGCACCTCCATGAACACACGCTGCTGTTATGTAAAGTCTCTGGAAGGTCCCTGGGCACAGAGATTCTGCAGAGCTGCATTCTTGGAGAAGTTTGCACAAAAAGCCGCTAGCTGAACTCTGTTAGCATCAAAGCCCGCCTGCCACTTCCGCCCCGCGTATTTCCCCACCACAGGCCAGGACTTCTGGTCTGAATGCCCCTAGCGTCTGAAATTTAGAGAATGTGCGTCCAGTGCGCGCGGAAGCCACCAACTGTAGAAAAGATGAAAGATGTCATTTTAATGAACATGTGAAGTCTGGTGCACACTGGGTTAGTCTTGCACAGTTTTTCCAATGTGGGTTTTGCAAATGAAAAACAAATCTTGAATCGAGTACATAGGTAAACCAAAATTATGACATTCAGACAATTGTGTGTGTTTGTATTTCAGGATATGTTCGTGACCTGATGAACCTGCTGTTCACAGAGGTTTTCAAAGATCCGTCTTTGTTTGTGGAGGATTCGAACAGAAGAGGACCCCAGAGACTGAGGGAGTCGACACCAGAGACTGAGGGAGTTGACCCCAGAGACTGAGGGAGTTGACCCCAGAGACTGAGGGAGTTGACCCCAGAGACTGAGGGAGTTGACCCCAGAGACTGAGGGAGTTGACCCCAGAGACTGAGGGAGTTGACCCCAGAGACTGAGGGAGTTGACCCCAGAGACTGAGGGAGTTGACCCCAGAGACTGAGGGAGTTGACCCCAGAGACTGAGGGAGTTGACCCCAGAGACTGAGGGAGTTGACCCCAGAGACTGAGGGAGTTGACCCCAGAGACTGAGGGAGTTGACCCCAGAGACTGAGGGAGTTGACCCCAGAGACTGAGGGAGTTGACCCCAGAGACTGAGGGAGTTGACCCCAGAGACTGAGGGAGTTGACCCCAGAGACTGAGGGAGTTGACCCCAGAGACTGAGGGAGTTGACCCCAGAGACTGAGGGAGTTGACCCCAGAGACTGAGGGAGTTGACCCCAGAGACTGAGGGAGTTGACCCCAGAGACTGAGGGAGTTGACCCCAGAGACTGAGGGAGTTGACCCCAGAGACTGAGGGAGTTGACCCCAGAGACTGAGGGAGTTGACCCCAGAGACTGAGGGGAGTTGACCCCAGAGACTGAGGGAGTTGACCCCAGAGACTGAGGGAGTTGACCCCAGAGACTGAGGGAGTTGACCCCAGAGACTGAGGGAGTTGACCCCAGAGACTGAGGGAGTTGACCCCGGAGACTGAGGGAGTTGACCCCGGAGACTGAGGGAGTTGACCCCGGAGACTGAGGGAGTTGACCCCGGAGACCGAGGGAGTTGAGACCGAGGGAGTCGACCCCGGAGGCCGAGGGAGTCGACCCCGGAGGCCGAGGGAGTCGACCCCGGAGGCCGAGGGAGTCGACCCCGGAGGCCGAGGGAGTCGACCCCGGAGGCCGAGGGAGTCGACCCCGGAGGCCGAGGGAGTCGACCCCGGAGGCCGAGGGAGACTGAGGGAGCCGACCCCAAAGTGAGGGAGTAAACCCCAGAGAGTGAGGACATTGACCTCAGAGTGAGGAGGTTGACCCCAGAGACTGGGAAAAACCCCTTTGACATCAACATTACCTTGTGCTTATTATAAACATGGGTTTTGTAATTGTTTTGTAAACATTAAATTGCTTTTTATTCAGTAAATCATGTCTGATTGCAACAAGTTATTTAACCCTGGACACCAGAGCTTTTTGCCATAAATATGAAAATCTGACTTGAATCTGATTGAATGTGTCTCAGAGATCAACAAATCCAAATGTATTTGTATAGCACAGTACTTTAATCTGTGGAACGGATCCTCTCAACATGAGCCTATGAGGTTTCTCACTGAGTGGTTCCTCTCTGATACAGGAGGGTTTAAGGATGGTGATGATCCGGGATGGTTCTGCACATTTATCAACATTTCTGTGCAAAACCCCCCCATTCCAGATTGTAGCTGCGTAAATCTGAAACGCTGCCGCCTCATGTTTAGTCCTCAGCAGGAGGCCAGTCCCTGTGCTCCTCCGTCCAAACCGGAGCTCTCTCTACTCTCTCTCTGGTCTGGTGTCTCTCTCGGGTCTCTCTTGTCCCTCTCTCTCAAGTGCATTACAGCTTTTACTCTTTAACCACAGATGTTGTATTGATTTCCCCCTGGTCTCTTTCTATCACCTTCTCTGGCTGCCCCACTCCCCCAGACTCCCAGGTGTTGTCGGATGTGCGCAGAGTGGTTGGAGATGATGTCTACTCCCCTGAGGATCCAAAGGAGCTCTGTGGTCGGCTCTTCTTCACTTGCTACATGTCCAGTGAGAACTCTTCCTCTGAGACCAGGGCTCGGGCTCAGGAGCTGGCCTCACAGATTGGCAGGTAACCAGGCAACAGTGAAGGGGAAGTTACTTTTAAAAAGCAACTTTTCTTGTTAATTCTTTTAAAAAGTAACTTGTTACTTTTTTAATTTTACATTACTTTTGTGTTACTGTTAGTAGGCCATGTGGGTAACTAAAGAAAATCCCATTGACTTAAAATATATTGTCTGAGGATGTCTGACATAAAGTTCCACACAGGAAATCTTTGCAGTATTTCTGTTGGGACTATTTTTCATCCTGCACAATAACAAATGACACATATCTGATTCAATGTGAGACGGTAGGACGAGCAGCATCTTTCCATTTCAACAAAATCAAATATCACGCCAGTAATGTCGAAAAGACAAGTGTGCGACCCCCAGCGGGCAAAACTAGATCCTCCTCTACATCAACCACAAAAAAGCAATGGAGGTGTAACTGGTATTGCAGTCCCAAATATGGAAGAGAATGCTTCACATACACCACCCCAAAGTTGTTGTAATTTAGGGCAAGACCAAAACATGTGAATCAATTGCTTTTTTGTGGTTGGGTTGGAGGCAGTGTTCTCTTTAATTCTTCATGGGTCGGAGCAAAAACACAAACCCTCTGAGCGGCACGTGGAGCACTCTGAGCAAGAGATCACTGTAAAAACTATTCAAATTTCAATACATCTGCTGCATTACCCTGGCGTGTACGCCGCTCAATCATCATTTCACTGCATGTAGCGGTCTGGGTCTGGTCCCCGTGTTAGCGATTACAATCGGTCGTATTTCAACCGGCTACTCAGAGAGCGCGTTGTAGGTCGGTGCCGGTGACGTCAACAGTTTGCGCCGAACGGGCAGGTTGTAGTTTGGCAGTGGTGAAGAATGCAATAGTAAAGTAATCCGGTCTGGTTCTATCAAGAAATTTAAGCAGGAGCAAGAGGAATGTTTAGCAAATGTAATCACTGGTCAAGATTGTGGCGCTACTCCCCACGGGCTCCGTTAGCAGCAAAGGAGATGGCTAGGCTAAATGCTAATGCTAACAACTCACTCGGGCGCATTACATGCGTCACGGTAAACTCGGATCCAATCGTTTCAATCTGCAAAAGGAGTTAACCCCTCCCACCTGTTCACGGAGCTCAATGGAGCAAATCCAAACCTTAGTATGAAATGAAATTTGTACTGTGTGGTACAACCAGGCTACTGCTGCATACACCTGCTGTATGTGCGTAGGCACGGGAGGAAGCCGGCTGCCAGTTGCGTTGCGCTCGTTCAGTTTCAACTTTTTTCTATCTATACCGGTTTTAATGCTTCTTTAGGCCTGTCGCGATATTCAATAAATCAATTATTCGCATGATAATTAAAATTAGCTCGATAGTTTTCCTGGCCGCGATGAATTCCATTTGCATGCTTGTTTGTTTTCCCGTCTCTCTCTCCCTCTCTTTCTCTCTCGGGTCAAAGAGCCGCAAAGTGGTCACGCGAGTAGACTGAAATAACTCAAAAATACAGCCAAAACAGGACCTAAAAACCAGAACTAAACCAGGACTTAACCAGGATTGACAATGGGGGACACAGTAGCTGTTCTCATTCAGGCTCTAGTAGTGACTAAACTACTAAACAGTAGTTGCGAAAGTACCGTTTAATAATAAAATAAACTTATGACGCACCTCCGTGAACACATACTGCTGTTATGTAAAGTCTCTGGACGAAGAGACACGGCAGACCTGCATTATCGGCAAAAACTTTACACAACAAGCCGCTAGCATGATGCTAACTCTGTTAGCATCATGCTAGCGGCTTTTTACTTTTGCCACTTCCGACGGTGGTCTTTAAAAATAAAAGTGTATTTCTCTTTGAAAAGGTGTACCTGCATCATTATCATTGTATTAGATGAAAATTATCTCAAAACGACAATACTGTCGCCTATCGGAATAATTTCTGAGACAATTAATCGTCCAGCAAAATTTGTAATCGTGACAGGCCTATGCTTCTTTTGTAAATGGGCTATATGCACGGGGAGGTGTGACGTCATTTCCTGTTAACAAAGCACAGCCCGTTAACTTCCTGTCTATGCTATCGCTATGGCTTTTAGGTGAGTTGTAGTGACGTTTTTTTTGTAATTAGATTGATAGATTCAGCTGTGAGACTGACCCAAAAGTGTCGACGTGCTTTCTCTAAGAGGTAGAGCTTTGACCGTGGACATTCAGAGACAGCACAATCAAAAAGCACTGCTGTGTCCCAAAAAAGCCCAGTATCCACAGTTTAATTCCCGTTTGAGCATTATTTAAGAAACTTGTGTAATCATCTACTGAACTCCAGTGAAACTCAAGCCGTTCCCCGCGCACAGGAAGTCAAGTGGGGTTATAAATAAAACGCGAAAGTGGTGCATGCATAGAGCCCATACTGTTTTTATACACCACTGGGAGAATTAAGCCTAGTGTATACTTGCGCGGCGTGGCTTACGTTAGCGGTTGCGGTGGACCTACGTAAGCACAATTGATGTTATACTGGCGCATTCCCCTTACGGAGTTTTGAGGAGAATGTTGTAATCCCACAACAAACCACATGAGGGCGATCACACAGGAGCGGTCCCATTTACGCTGTTACTTTGTCCTCTTCAGAACAACAATAGCAAACAAAGCTGTTTGAGATCATTACACGTGTTTCTACTGTAGGTTTATATGATAGTTTTATGGATTCATTATTTTATAAGTCATTTCAACTGTGATGCTGTGAATAAAGACACAGTTCTTGTTGGAAACATAGTTATTATTAAATGGTTTTCAGCACAACAGCAAAACAATAATAGTGGTAAATATCTGAGACAAACATGAACGATTTACGAGTGCAGGAGGAAAGCAACAAACGCAGCTACGATTCAAACAAAGACAGGAACAGTGCAAAACAAACGACTGCACGGTTTATAAGTTAGCTCTGAGCCCAAACTGCTTTTCCTTCGAAGCACAAAGCTCTCTGCTCCATAGTGCCTCGTCCATGCTCCTGCTGCAGCCGCTCCGTGCTTCCTTCCAATACACACACACGGACCAATCTCAGCGGAGATTCCTTGCGGCGACCCTTACGTAGTTAAAAAATTTCGATGCTGCAGGGCAGGCAACGTAAGGGCCTTGCGGTGACCAACGCGTTGCGCAAGTGACGTCACGTCACCTCCGTAAGCGCCACGCGAGTTTACACTAGGCTTAAGAGAGTCACTCGGATGACATATTACCACGCCGAGTTCCGTTGGATAATCCAAGTTTGGGACTTATTTTGCTGCTGCAATGTGTGTGGGACTAAAACATTCCCTCCCCATGGGCTCCTCCATTGTCTATAAAAGCAAGGTCTGATTGTATTTTTGCACCGCGGAACGTTTCTCACTTACTCAGAGTTAAATTAACACCAGCGTGAGAATGACTCCTACCCCATGCTCGTACCGGAAGTCTCTCCTGTTGTTCCATTTTTAATGTGAACGACCCTAACTCTTAACCCCTGACCCTTTTGTTTTTCAGCACACATTTGAACATCAACATCGACCTGGCGGTGAAAGGCATTTTGAGCATTTTCTCCGCTGTCACTGGAATGTTCCCAAAGTTTCGTGCAAATGGAGGAAGTCACAGAGAAAACCTGGCCCTTCAGAATGTCCAGGTGAGACCATAGACAGAAGGTTGAGAAGTGAGACCAGAGAGAGAAGGTAAAGGAGAGACATGAGATTACAGATACACGTTCTTCTGCCAGAGTGATAGGACGCCTCTAAAAACGTTTTTCTATATTATTGTATTGTTAAGACTAGATTTTATAGGGACAGTGGCTCAGTTGGTATCTGCTGTCGGTTAGGGGACTTCAGGCAAACCCCACTTTGCCTGAAGTCCCCACTGAAAGATCTCAGTGGTCTCATCACCTGCAGTGATGGGCCGGTGCTAAGTGTACTGGGTGCATCTCTGACTGCCACCCCCTGACCCAGAAATGGATTAAGGGGGAAAAAATGGATGGACTAGATTTTAAGATAAGATTAACTTTATTGATCTCACAATGGAGAAATATACAATGGCATAAATACACCTGTTTAACTGTGTCTCTCTTTCCTCACTCTAGTCCAAATGGTTTAACAGTCTTTCTCTCCTCACCCAAGGTGAGGGTCCAGATGATTTAACTGTATCTCTCTCCTCACTCAAGGCGAGGGTCCGGATGGTCTTGTCGTACTTGTTCGCGCAGTTGTGTCTTTGGGCTCGTGGGAAACCTGGAGGACTGCTGGTGCTTGGCTCTGCAAACGTAGACGAAAGGTAAATGTTTTTAAGTCAAAAATATGTGCTTAAACCATATGTGATATTATGTGGAGAGAATTTAAACCTGTTTCCACATGGACTAGAGGCCACCCACAGTATTGCAGCCTCAATCCATATGGAATTTGAGCCGATTCATGTAGCACTAATAGATGTCACAGATGTACTTTGGTGCGAGACCATGAAGAGACCTGTACACAAGCTGAGCTGCTTTAGAGGGTTTTTTCTGAAAAGTTGGGCATACGCAAATGTCTTTGCTTATTTAAAAACACATCTCACACGTCACATGCTTGTGTGATGCATAGTATTAAAGCTAGAACCTTCTAGTTTATGTAAATATACTCTAAAATAATGTATGTCATTCTTTTGAAGTTTGCATCCTTTGAAGTTTGGGGGAAAAAAACCTGTTTATTTAGCCTTGCCTAAAATATTAAATTTCTAAAGGCCCTAACAAAGGCATACTTCATTGTAAGCACACAATATTCAAACCCTATGGTCGAGTTGTTGGCAACACCTGTCTAAAGTTTCAGACTTCTAAGTTTTATAGTTTTTATGCAGTTTCTCTTTTTCATCAAGTAGTGCCATTCAGAACCAATTTGGCACACTTTGTGCCAATTTCATCATCATCATAAAAACCATATATTTTATTGTTGGTACTTATAAGTTACTAATCTGTGTGATTGGTTTTTTTTCAACATTTTTTTCAAAGTTCATTTTTTAGTAGTGTAAATGCATATAAAATATGTGGTGCTCCGAACAGCTTCTCTCTCCCTACCCTAACGCGTCCTTCTACTGATACAAATCACCACAGTACCCCCATGTCCCACCCATTGCTAGAAAGCTTTCCCTATTTTTTGGGCGACAGTGGCTCAGTTGGTAGAGCGTTCAAACTCCGCGAACAGTGATAGAGCAGCCTCTGTGTTATTTCAGAATGTTTTCTTCCGCAAAAGATAAACGCACATTTTTGGATTATTTCTACAGAATGGATTATACTTATACAGGACCAGGACCTGCCTGGTGTGTTCCTTTGTCTTCATGGTTCTCTCTGCACTTTAAACAGAACCCTGAGACTATCAAAGAGCAGGTGCATTTATACGGAGACTTGATTACACACAGGTGCATTCAATTTATCATCAGTCATTTAGGACAACATTGGATCATTCAAAGATCCTCACTGAACTTCTGGAGTGAGTTTGCTGCACTGAAAGTATAGGGGCCGAATAATATTGCACGCTCCACTTTTCAGTTTATTTGTTAAAAAAGTTTAAATTATCCAATGAATTTCGTTCCACTTCACGATTGTGTCCCACTTGTTGATTCATGACAAAAAATTAAAATTTTATATCTTGATGTTTGAAGCCTGAAATGTGGCGAAATGTTGAAAGGTTCAAGGGGGACGAATACTTTCGCAAGGCACTATATATATAATGACTACGGGCAGGACCGTGAAGGAAAATCTGTGTGTTGTGCTGCACTGACAGAACTGCTGATCTGGAGACTCATTTAGCACTGTCGGCAAAGTTTAAAAAAATAACCATAATACTCTGAGTGTAACTGGACTATGAGAGTACCTGAAGGTTGAGAGTTACTCAAGTATGAGAGTAACTATATATATGTATATATATGTGTATGTATGTATATATATGTATGTATGTATGTATGTATGTAATATATATATTACTCCCCATCACACATAACTTGTGTGTGTATATATATATGTGTGTGTGTGTATATATATATATATAATATATATATAGATAGATACTTCATTGATCCTCTGTTAGAGAAGTTCAGGTGTCCAGCAGGAAGGGTAACAGCAGCGCAGAGGTGGAACATCCGCTAATTGGAACAGGACACTACCACAGAGGGGGAGTAGCCGCTCAGTGGAGCTGGACGGGTCACAGCAGCTGGGGTGGAACAGGACAGGTCACAGCAGCAGAGAGGGTGTAGCCCAGACCTGAGCAATATACGGCCGGGGGGGCAGGTTTTCTGCGGTGCTGTGACGTATCTGCAGCGCTTACGTGTTTTGCTTTGCATCACATGAAAATAATAGTCAATGACTCCACATGGACTAGAGGCCACCCGCGGTACATCAGTGTAAGTCTAAATAGTTTATTTTGAATCCATAGGCTTCGGAAACATTGCCAGTTTGTTATGGAAGCTTCCCCACATTATCATAGCTGGGTCTAGAATATGTCCTAAAATGCACAAATAATCTCTCACACTTCATATAAACCTGTGTTTGTCTGTGTTTCCAGCCTGACTGGATACTTCACTAAGTACGACTGTTCGAGTGCAGACATCAACCCGATTGGAGGCATCAGTAAAACAGACCTCAAGAGTTTTCTGTCGTACTGTGTGGACAAGTTCCAGCTTACAGCTCTGAAAAGGTGAGAACACAGGTGAAATCCCTACTCTGTTCTGTATGAAGCAAAGTTTAATTTGGATTGCCTCTTCAGCATCCTCTTGGCGCCCCCTACAGCTGAACTCGAGCCACTGACAGATGGACAGGTGTCACAGACTGATGAGGTAACACCCTCCATGTATTATCACCCATTGGAAGCCTCAGCCGACATGCAGATGACATACTCGTACTCATACGTTGTATTCTAAAGACTCTGTCTGGTCTCTAGGCCGATATGGGGATGACATACTCGGAGTTGTCTGTGATTGGTCGACTCCGAAAGATTTCAAAGTGTGGTCCTTTCAGTATGTTCTGTAAACTCATCCACATGTGGAGGAACACACTGTCACCAGCAGAGGTCAGTGCAGAGCTCTCACCATACACTTAAACATAGGACATTTGATCAAATTGAATGTAATTTATAAAGCACAGTTATTACAGTGCAACAGCCTCCAGGTATACATACAGTCGTATGAAAACATTTGGAAACCCTAACAATTTATTTTAATTTTTATATATAAATATATTGGAGACACACACAGTGATTATTTGAGAAGTGTAATAATGTTTGTATTATTCACACAAAGTTTGCAAGAATTAAGCAAATTTGGCATGTACCTTTAGCACACATTTTTGGAACTCAAAATTGGTTTTGAAACCTCAGTGACCTTTGACCTCCATACACAGGTGAATCCAATTAGGAGAAAGGGTATTTAATTAGACCAATTGTAAGTTTCCCCTCTTTGCATCTTCTCTGAAGAGTGGCAACATGGCAGTCTCAAAACCACTCTCAAATGCACTGAAAACGTATATTGTTCAACATCACTGTTTAGGACAGTGTTTCTCAATTATTTTCTGCCAGGCCCCCTTAGGTAGAAAAAACATTTGGTGCCCCGTCTCCTTAAATCTTTAGATTGGCTCAGAAAATCCACTCTCAGCCCAAAAAGTCAGATAATAACTCTCAGGCAACTGTTGTGGTCTGTTCTGTTTGATTAAATGCAATTCAATGAAATGTATTCTTGTATAGCCCTAAATAACAAAAGTAGAAATCTCGGAGGACTTTACACAACTGTTGAATTTGCTAACAGATCGGAGAATCAAACCATTCAAACACAAAAAATGGAACAGAAAACACATCGGTATAGGTCCATAAGTATGGAAGCCCATAGCTGCCATGTGAAAAAAGGGAAAAAGAATACAGAAAGTCATAATTTTGAGTTTAAAAGTCAAAATTACGAGTTTAGAAATGAAAAAAATGCGACTTCATTGACTTTTAAGTCTGCTGTCGTCGTGTCCTTGGGCAAGACACTTAACCCACCTTGCCTATAAGAAGCGCGGAAGTGATGTTCGCTGCTTGCCTTGATGTGTATTTGTATACAGTATGTATATGTGTATGCATCAAACTGAAATTTCCCCATTGTGGGTCAAAAAAAGGACCCTCTTCTTCCTCTAGTGCAGGGGTTCCCAAAGTTTTTAGCCCGCGACCCCCATCATAAATGCCCTGCTAACCCGCGACCCCCCCAACAGCCCTTTCGTCACATGAAATGAGCATGTATTTCCTTGATACGGAGTAACGCTTTCTAGAGACTCACGCCACTACCGAGCTGCACTGTCCAGCCCAAAAAAGGAGGCTTGCATATTTTTACTCATGTAGTGACACAGTGATGGGCTTGGTGGGCTCCGTCCTCAGCAGAAGTGGAGCGCATTTCTTGCGGCTCGCCCTCACTGTTCTCCTACCGCGGTAAAGTGGGCCGGCTTTCCGGAGTCAGCGGTAAAGAGGTCCGCACATTAAAAGCGGGCGGCCGCTTTCTGCTGTTACTTTATGCGGTTCATCCCCGCGGCTTCTCTTTCCAAAGTTACTGTCAGTAAAGGCATAAACCGGCCACCCGCTTTTAATGTGCGGACCTCTTTACCTTTGACTCCGAAAAGCCGGGCCTCTTTAACGCGCTGTTCTACCTCCCTCCCTCCCTCCGCTGCCCTCTCTCCCTCCTCTGCCCTCTCTCCCTCCGCTGCCCTCTCTCCCTCCGCTGCCCTCTCTCCCTCCGCTGTCCTCCCTCCCTCCGCTGCCCTCTCTCCCTCCTCTGCCCTCTCTCCCTCTCTTCGCACCATCAGCCTGACCCCTGATACAAGTGACTTTTCTCCCCCTCCGGGTTTTTCTGTTGTGGATATTAACCACGTTTCATTTTAAAGCAGGTATTATTTATTTGTAGCCTCCAAACACCTTTAGTTTTAGCAAACAACAGCAGGACACGCTTTGTCGCTGCGCATGATGTGAGCTGTGTTACGTGATGATTTTGATTGACGCTGCAATGACTGGGACAAAATTACTAACGTTATTAAAATATATTATAGTCTCCAAACACAATTTAACAAGTAGTCCTTTTGAAACAAATCAAATGCTAAATAAATATTTATGGGCTTTATATTTGCTCAAAAAAATATATATATTTTTTTTTTGAGCAAAAAAAACCTTTTTTTTGTGTGTGGAAATCATCTTGCGACCCCCCCAGGGGTTCCCGCGACCCCCCGGGGGGTCGGGACCCCCACTTTGGGAACCACTGCTCTAGTGGCCATGTCTCCACTGCAGAGTAGGACCCCTCGGCAACGTCATGAGTTTTGATTGCTGCATAATCAATCCTTATTTATTTTATAATCTGAATCGCTCCGGTTGTTGTGGTCTTTGAGGGTTTTTTTTATAGTCCTGCTTCATTTTTTTCTACTTTTCACTGCCTTGTTTTTTGGAGTGTGATGTATAAGCGTACATTTTCCACATGTACACATATGTGTCCCCAGATAACACACCTCTGTTATGCAGGTGGCTGAGAAGGTGAAACGGTTTTTCAGGATGTATTCCATAAATCGGCACAAGATGGCGACGATGACACCCTCCTACCACGCGGAGGTCTACAGCCCTGATGACAACCGCTTCGACCTGAGGCAGATTGTCTACAACACACGCTGGAGCTGGCAGTTCAGGGCCATCGAGCACCAGGTACAGGGCCCTGCAATACTGGAGCCCACCATCACAAGCCCCATATGGGCTTAATCTGCTCTGCTCTGTTATGTATTTCTATTTAGTGTATTACATAGATAATTCTGTTTTCGAGATCACATGAATACAGCTTCAGTCTCGTGAAAGTCTGTTGTCATTGTACCACTATGACATCGATATGCCGAATTGCAATCACGTGGTCAAAAGGGGGCTTGGCAGGGGGCCATAAGACAGGACGTACAGTATATTTGTCCTTGGCTTGATATTTCAAACCGCTTGATATAACTCTTATGCGGAATAAAAAATTATTATCAACACAGCGTACGCCTTGTATAGTTTGAGTGAGTTCAATATTTTCAACAATGAGGAGGATTAACCGGCTGTTATAGTGGCGACATTGGAGCTTGCCACTCCGGGATCAACACAAGCCACGTCCAAGATGATAGTTCTGATCAATAATATAATACATGGGCCACAAATATTACTTTTAACAACATTTGAGGTTAGAAATATGACCCTTTGTCATTGAGGTGATTTGTTTATCTGTAAATAAAACATTTCTGACTTAATCTCTATGGGGAAGTCGCGGAAATAACAATGATCAAGCCCTCTTTTAAGATAATGGCCAGATGTAAACTATATTCTATGTTAGAGGACTTTTAGTTTTTTATGAGAACACTTTTGTTTAAGACATTTAAACATGTGTTTAGTTATTTTTCCCTGTTAATATAACTGTATACTACACAAAAAGACTGCAGTGTTTCTCTGAAGGTCAGCGAAGTGACCTTCAGAGAAAACGCTACGTAGGCTAATCCATTCGCTAATGCAACACCCGTTAGAGAAATTTATTTTAGCACAATAGAGACTCCATTAGTTCTCCACTTGATACGAGCAGTTGCCACAACTGCACCTGCCACCGAAAAAGAGCATTTTGACTTAGAATCAGTGAAGATTGACATGGGTCTTGATGGGGTGATTAACTTCCTGTCCCTCGGAGGACTTTGCGTCACTGCATGACGTCAGGTGCAACCCACCGATAACATCCCACTCAAAGCAATTTTCTTCCTTTAAATCAAAAGTATTGTCCATAAACTACTTTTGGTCATTTGGTCAGAGAAATTAGGTTATTTATAATCACTGTGTTTGCAGTCCCCCGCCACGCAGCGTATCTGTTTTGTTCCACTCTGGAGGCCGTTTCTAAATGCTTGGATTTTCACCCCCCTGAAACAGTGTCTGTGAACAGAAGGCCAACTCGATACCCAACTCTATCGTTTTACTGTCGCAACATCTCCGTGTAAACAGCCTCTTACTGTTTCTTTCTTTTCTCTGCAGGTGTCTCAGTCTCTGGTCCGTGCACATAAACGGGAAGATGAACTGGAGTCAGTGACCTCATAAAGAGAGTCTGTGTCTGTGTTACAGGAATGTGGTCGGTCTAGATTGTGAAAACCCTTTTAGATTTTTCTTCCTGGAACAGTGCGAAGACTAATAAAGAATAATAAAAAATGGCTTCAAGCTTTGTGACTTTGGGAGTCAAACACTGATAGTGAGAAAACAAATCATACATCAAATTGTTGTAGATCCGGTAGTCCTGCCCATATGTATGTACTGTTTCTATGTATATATGTGACCCAAGCATAGGAAATGAAGGTAGACCTGGGGGGAAGACTGAAATTCCCCCGTTGTCCAGACAACCCTGAGGCCAGACTGTCCCATGGGAAGAGGCTTGTGAGCAAGCGTTTGAGAGAAAGAGCACCAAATATCAGGATCTCTTGCATGACTGCAGGGGGAAAGCCTGGCAGGCATGGCTCTCCCCAGTCGAGGTCGGCTGTAGAGGGTTCCCTGCCCAGTCAGTGTGGGTAATGCTCACAGCCATTGAGAGGCAGCAGAGAGAGCTTCATGCTGGTTATGGAACAGGAGAGAGGAGTTTAACTGGAAGCAAGGGGGAGCTGATGGGCAGTGACTTGGCCACCACTGCTGACCCACCAATGTTGAGGGTGTTGTGGTTCAGGGTTGAAACACCCAATGATCATTGGATACCACCTGACATCAGCTCTCCCTGGCCAAGGCTACATTCACCAAAAGTGAATGAAGGAGAAGCATCTTCGGATGTTATTGTAGTCATTATATATATAATATAATTATATATTATATATATAATGACTACGGGCAGGACCGTGAAGGAAAATCTGTGTGTTGTGCTGCACTGACAGAACTGCTGATCTAGAGACTCATTTAGCACTGTCGGCAAAGTTTAAAAAAATTACCGTAATACTCTAATGAGTGTAACTGGACTATGAGAGTACCTGAAGGTTGAGAGTTACTGAAGTATGAGAGTAACTGAAGGATTAAAGTAACTGAGGCAAAAGAGTAAAGCCCCCGCAAAGCTCCTGGCCCGGACCACGTGTCTCCGGCCACTCTGAGATACTGCGCCAGGGGGCTTACTCCTGTGTTCACTGACATTTTCAACACCTCTCTGCAGTCCTGCCATGTCCCGGCCTGCTTCAAATCCTCCATCATTGTCCCCGTCCCGAAGAAGCCCAGGATCACAGGACTCAACGGCTACAGACCTGTAGCACTTACGTCTGTCGTCATGAGGTCATTTGAACGCCTGGTTCTCTCCCATCTCAAGTCCTTCACCTCCCCCCTCCTGGACCCCCTGCAGTTCGCCTACAGAGCCAACAGATCTGTAGACGACGCCATTAACCTGGCCCTCCACCACATCCTACAGCATCTGGACTCCCCGGGGACCTACTCCAGGGTCCTGTTCGTGGACTTCAGTTCTGCCTTCAACACAATCCTGCCATCCCTGCTCCAGGACAAGCTCTCCCAGCTCAACGTGCCCGATTCCACCTGCAGGTGGATCACTGACTTCCTGACGGACAGGAAGCAGCGAGTGCATCTGGGGAAGAATGTCTCGGACTCTCTGATTATAAATACAGGAGCCCCACAGAGCTGTGTTCTTTCTCCCCTGCTCTTCTCCCTGTACACCAACCACTGCACCTCCAGCCTCTCACTCTGCACATGGACTATTCCAACCACTCCCCTCAGGCAGGAGGCTGCGGTCCATCAGGACTAGAACCTCCCGCCACAAGAACAGTTTCTTCCCCTCTGCTGTTGGACTCTCGAACACTTCTTAACCTGTCCCCCCGCCCTTTATAAAGTCACTTTACTGCCCATCATACGTCACTTTACTTCACTGTACTGCTGTCACCTTACATTGTGTGCACCATGTGCACTTGTATATTGTAAATAGTAACTGTAACTCTATTTTTAATTTAAATTTATTCTTTAGAAGTGTTTTTTATTCTTATTTTTATTATCTCTTTCTGACTGTTGCAAGTCTGTGACCTCCTGTTACTTACGTGGCAATAAAAATGATTCTGATTCTGAGTAACTGGGGTATGAGGGTACCTGACGGATGTAACTGAAGGATTTTCACACCTGATGCCACTGATGTCCAGGACCTGGAGATTGTCCAGGAGTTTCAGGAACTACTTCATGTTTCCACCCCCATGTTCCACGGTTAGGCCATCAGATACATTCATTTTAAACGGTTATGTAATAACAAACGTCATTAACAAGTAAAAAGTAGAATACATTTGGAATAAATGAGACAACATTTTTGTGTTTGAGACAATTAAACACTTTTATAACACTGTTCCATTGTAGAAATTATCCACTGAAAAAATGTTTTACTGCCAAGTGATGTGCATGGATTTCCGCAGACTGCCGCTCCAGCCCCAGTGAACATCCATCTAGGAAAGGGACAATATGAGAGTGGACTCTTACCTGGGTGTTCATCTGAACCACAAACTGGACTGGACTCGAAACACAAACGCCCTCTTCAAGAAGGGCCAGAGCCGACTCTACCTGCTGAGGAGGCTCAGGTCTTTTGAAGTGCAGGGGCCACTCCTGAAGACCTTCTATGACTCTGTGGTGGCATCAGCCATCTTATATGGTGTGGTCTGCTGGAGCAGCAGCATCACAGAGAGGGACAGGAAGAAGCTGGACAAGGTCATCTGGAAGTCCAGCTCTGTCTTGGGCTGTTCCCTGGACACAGTGCAGCAGGTGGGGGACAGGAGGGTCCTGGACAAACTAACACCTATGCTGGAACATGACTGCATGACACGCTCTCTGCTCTCGAGAACAGTTTCAGTGACAGACTAATTCACCCTCGCTGTGTGAAGGAGAGGTTCTGTAGGTCTTTCCTTCCTACTGCTGTCAGACTGTACAATGTGTGGTGGTACACCTGTTTTTCGTGAGCGCTCCTATCAGCGCTCTGGCTCGCAGTATTTAAGGACAGCCCTTTCCCATGTACTCCTGTTTTGCCTCGCCTCTGACGTCGGGACGCTGCTCGCTGGTGGCGTCCAAAGCACCTGTTTGCTTTGGATCCAGCCCCGACACCGGCTTTGTGCCCCAGCGGGCACGCTGATTTCAAACTGCGTTCCGGTGAGTGCTTGCGGCCGGCCTTGTGGCTTTATTTGGCACAATATCTTAATGTAGTTTCTTTTAGATTGTCCATGATCCCGGCACAGCTGTGGAGTAGGGACAGAGCGTGGCGATTGCGCAACCCCTCCACAGGTGCAGCGCTCTGATCTCTTGGTGAGTGTTAGAGCCGGCTTTCTAACTTTGTTTTGAGTCGTTATTGAAATTTAGTTGTTCTTAGGGACACGGGCAGGCACTCTTTACTGCAGACGCAATCCTGTTCTAGTACTGGTAAGCATTTAAAATAAATCTAGTTCTTGTTGTCACCTATAATTATATATCCTGTCTAGGCTTTGTATGTGCGCGTCTCGGGCCTCTGTGGCTCCTAGTGGCTTGTACGCGGGATCCTTGGAGTGCTGCATGTGGGTATACTGCACCACTCATATAGGTTTATTATTTTAATTCATATCAAATTTAATTATTTCATTTAGCTCTGCGCGGGTCTCCCCTTCTGGAACCTGGAGAAACGCACCACCCTCACTGCTACCACAGACTATAACCACGCGCGCCTTACGGGCCTCAGTGCGGGGTCACGGAGGCGCGTGGGTTCTTCGGAGGCGTTTGGGCCTGGCGGGATCGCTGTTGCTGGTTGGAGCAATGGGCCTCTAGTGTGGCCAACGAATAATAACTGAGTCACATTTTACAGTGAGAGTGGAGATTCCGGCGTCGTTGAATGATCTGTCTTTTAAAAAAACTGTCAAATAAATTGTGTTTTTTTGTACTATATTGCCTCCTATTCCTATCAGTCCACGAATCTGTGTGCCCTTTATTATTTCTGTCCTTAACGGGTCCCAGTCCCCGTATACTGGGTGGCGTTGCTAATAATATCCTAGTTAATTAGGCTAACTTCCCAAATTCATAGTTTCGACCATTACAAACGGGAGCTGCTGAGCCTGTAAATGGATCTGTAATAGTAAATACTAAACTCATGTGCAATACTGCAGAATGTTCACTGAACAATGTCACTTTACTTATCTACTTATTATCCTGCCCTATATGTACAGTATATAACTCCGCACTTCTACATACAGTGGGGCAAAAAAGTATTTAGTCAGAATCAATCATTTTTATTGCCACGTAAGTAACAGGAAGTCATAGACTTTGGAAATTGCTTTGGCTCAGTGCAACAGTCAGAAAGAGATAATAAAAAATAAAGATTAAAAAACACTTCTAAGGAATACATTTAAAGTGGTTCTCACCCCCGCTCCTCGGAGCTTACGTCACTCACATTTCCTGTTCAAATCTTCCTCTAAATGGGCGTAGCCTGGAGGACTAAAGGGGGCGTGAACGAGACTGGGCCGTTTATATAGCTCTGGGCGGGGGGGCTGCTGACGTCAGGTCTTGCTTCAGACGTCAGGTCTTGCTGCCGCGCCAGTGTTGGGCGCCAGATTCAAAATTCAAATGTTAGTAATACAGGTCGCCAGCAGATGGCGCCTCACAGACGGTTTTAGGCAGAAAATTTAACTTTCAACTAATTTGCACCAAAGTGACAAAATTATGACCAGGATATGTAGACAACACTATTGGACACTCATGTATACCGTTTATCAGCAAAAAAAGTGGATTTGAGGGTGAGTAGCACTTTAAATTTAAAATAGAGATACAATTACTATTTACAATATATGTAATTCCCCTTGAAAGGTTCAAGGGGGACGAATACTTTTGCAAGGCACTGTATGCCCATTGCTCTGTTGTTGTACTTGACTTGATTCTTTGTATGCGGTTTGCCACACTTGAAATCTTCTGGCATCGTTATTGATATAGCCGAGAACTACTGTGGAGTCTGTCCAGAAATATTCTTAAATATCTGGGATATCAAGCTCGGTTTTGAGAAGGTCGCTGACTCTAACGGCAACCACTGCGGCTGAAAGTTCGAGTCTTGGGATGGTTGTAACACTTTCAAAATCGTCCAAATTTCCAAAATCTGAAGGAATGAAACATCTTTGAATGTGAATATCTGATAAACTGGGAAGGTCTTTAATCCAGGATTCCCACTGGGGTTTCAAGTGCTCTGGAAGTGCTTGTTCCCAATCAACCTTTTCTATGCACATTTGCTGGAGAATGTTTGCCTGTTTTGTGCGGATGATAGACCCCATGGTGTGGGATATACCATGCAGGCGTGTTGTCCAACTCTTCATCTGGTACCTTTTCGGCGTCTCCTCTTGAGATTACATCATCCATGAAGCTTGCATAGTCATTATAGTATGTCTTGTCCTTTTTCAATCTCTTCTCCAAACACTTCAGACGATGCATTGCACATACCTTATTGTCTGGGAGCTTGGGTCTTTCAGCACGAAATGGTAAGGGCATCTCGTAGTGTCCGCTTGTATTTAGTTTGATGTTCTCTCTAAGCTTGGAGAGGAACTTCAAATCTTCTTGGGAAACTGTGTCATCAAGAGTCCTTTCTGAGAAATCAGACTCAAGGGCCTTGATAATGTCTGAAGCTGTGACATCTCTCACCTTTGTCCTGTTAACATAGTGAACTTTACTGTGAAGATTTAAAGAGGACTCCAGCTCGGGAATGACTGTCTTTACTATAATCCGATGACTGATCCCGATAGCATCACCATAGTTTACAAGAGGATTACTTTGTCCAATGATGCTTCATCACAGGTCAGTACGCTGAGCATAAGGCTCGTCTTCTTTGCCTGACACAACTTCTCGTGGGAGGAGAGCTTGTGAGCAGTTATACCCAACCAACCTCTCTACTTCGCAGTCTTGTAATGGCGTGATCTCTGTCTGTAGGTTTTTCCAAATGGGCCACGCTTTAGCTGTCTCATCAGTTGGTATGTGAGCTTTGTTGGCTGGAATAAAGAATCTTGCTTGAGTTAAAGCCTCGAACTTGGGACAACAGTGGTCTTTGAAGACATGGTTGACGGTTCTAGTTTGAAAATCTTGCTGGATGTAGAAAGCCAAACAGGAACTATTGAAGCTGTTTTGGGTGTTGCCTTCTTGAAGTGCGACTCTAATTTTTGTTGGCAACCTATGGGAGCCGTGTGCTTCGATGTGAGTGGTTGAAAGCAGACTTCATTCAAGATAACGGACAAGTGGTCTATCCAATCACATACAAGGATTTTTTTACAAGGCCCTGCCTTCTGAAATCCAACCACTATGGCTCAGTACCAGACTCATGTGTGAAGTGCAGCGGACTACATGGGTCTGGCCAGAGTCAGGCTATATTTGTCATCCACCTTACTATGTAATAAATGAATACTGTTATTTGTTATAAATGAATTCTTTTGTTACTACTACTATGATGAAATGAAATGCTTTTGACCATTAAAATATCATTGGGTGTTAAATGTGAATCATTTCTAACCTATGTTGCACTAAATCTCATTTCCGAAACATTGAATTTCATTTCCGAAACACCATTCTCATTACCGTAACGTGTTCATTTGCAAATGATTTAATAATTATTTTTTTTTGGGTTTTTTTAGCAATTGTGTTGACACAATTTGTAGTACTACTTTTTATATCCCAATCACAAAAAATATATATTTATGTCAGTTTTCAAAGGAATATCCTAAAAAAACTAGATGTAAATCATTAAGTGTGTTGCGGTAATGAGACAAATTATAAATATTTTCAAATTTATAAATTTAACGAAGTAATCTTTCCTGACTGATACATTCCTCTTGGCATAAGTGTTAATGAGCTACTGTTAAAATTTCCCATTTTTTTTTATTTTAACAATAAATCTGATGTGATTTCATGTTGCGGTAATGAGATTTTTTTGGCACTCAATATCTAAAATACCTGTAATTCAACTAAAAAAAATCAAAAACGATGTCGAAAAATAATGTGTTTAGTAAGTTCAGACATTCATCTAAAGTGCTTAAAAGAAAATTAGTCTTCAGATGCCTTTTGAAAATGTTGAAGTTGGAATTGTTTTAAATCTGGATTTCGTGAGAATCACCCAAGTGCTTTTCTCGGCACTTGCGGCGCATTGGATTCAATGGATTTCTCTGCATTAAAACAGCGCATTGGATTTGAAAAATCGATGTTGTAGTAGTTAGCCCATGTAGAGGTGATCATTTTGGCACAATTACTTTCGTTTAACAACGTAGCTTTCGTAAGATATTCACCGCGGAAGTCCGAATCTGTGAATATCAAGCTAACTTTACCGAACTGCACGGACGTGCATAACCATTGACACGGCATTGAATTGATTTTGGGTTAAAGTTAAGTCACCCAGCTTTAACTTTAGTTTCCCAGTGAAATGAAGGGGCTGCAGTCCTGAGGTGAGCACAGGCGTCTCCAGTGGATTAGCAAATAGAAAACCCGAACCCAAGTCAAACCCTGATTACAGCAGCGCTTCTCAAAGTGGGGGGAACGTCAGGTTGAACATGCAAACCTTTTCAAACAGAAAAGTTTAGGTCGATTCGTAAAATAAGTGGATCATACGTCATAACGTGTCAGCTGACATACTGTGATTTCCACTGAATTCACTTTGAAACAGATGTAAACCCAGGTATCTGAACCTTACCTGCACTCCCCGAGAAGCTGCACGACTCCCCGGCGACAGAGTAGGACAGCCCCCGGCCTCTTCTCCCGAACCAGGAGGCACTCTCTCCGTTCAGTCCCCCCAACAGGGGCTCGGTCTCCATCCGGGGTCAGAGCTGGAACCGTGCGTAATGACCACCTCTACAAACGGCACCGTGCGTAATGTCAAGTAGAAGTGGCACTTCTGGTCAGCTGACGCAGAATCAGAAACTTTGGAAAAACGCAACAGGTTTTTTTGGGAGTTGTGTTTCAGGGAGGAAGTCTGGTGTGCTCCTCCTTCGTGAGAGTGACCGCGCACGCGTGGAGCTGCAGTTTCGGGGCTGCACTCACATGTCCCTGTCAAAAACAGTAATACTAATGTTTGAAAAGATAGTCTACAACTTCAATGAATGTTTATTTTGGTCAATTGTTTGATTAATAACATATTACACTCACAGACTATATAATAATAATATTTATTTGTAAAGCACTTTTAAAAAACAATGTTTACAAAGCGCTGCAAGCATAAACAATAAAACAGTCATAATGCAAAGTCTAAATTATTAGATACAATAGATGCAGGAAGACAAAGCAGACAGAGCAAAGAAAAAAGACACAACAAAGACAAAGCAAACAGTAAAATACAAAATGGGAAGTTATGGTGAGGAAGGTAAACACTGTTTGATAAAAGTTGGTTTTAAGAATTGATTTAAAAGAGGATACTGATGGTGCTAGCCTTATCTCCTCGGGCAGGTCGTTCCAAAGCCGAGGAGTCCAGACAGAAAAGGCTCGGTCACCGTCCAGCGTCTTGAACTTGGAACGGTCAACAGTGCAACGGTTTGAAAAAAATCACGGTACGGTTCGTACCAAGGTTCAGAGGCCACGGTTCGGTTCATTTTTCCGTTCTTTTTCAAAAAAAAGTTTTGACTCGGCACCTGCTCTGACTGCCACCCCTGACCTAGAAATGAATTAAGGGGAAGAAAATGGATGGATGGATGGAAGGTATATTACATCCATCCATCTAATTTCTTTTTAACATAATCAGTGAAAAACAACACAAAGTGCAACATAAGAAGGCACTTTATGAGGGTATTTACCCTCATATGTTAAACCACCTTCCTGATTCTCCCAAGGAGGCGGTCCATTTTGGGCCCAGTCCAGCCTCATTCACTGCATTTATTTAATTTTTGGCATTATTGTTGTGACCGGAATATTAGTACTGTGCCTTTGTCTCCCATTCCTCCGCTGCTTGTGTCAGAACCTGCGCTGTGTGCCTGTGTGACTTTCGTAGAGGGGGCATGTCTGCAGCGCCAGACTTCTCATCTCCCAGTCTGCAGCTGCTGTGATGAAGTTCTCCGTTCCGCACATAATCTATTATAGATTCCGCGGGACGTCCAAGCGTCAGTCGTGAGCGCAGCTGAGGATGCGCGGGAGAGTTGACTTTAGCCCGGTCTGACTGTGCGTAAAGAAGCTGCTTAAATGCCGCGGCAATAAGCGGTCATTGAGACGCTTTTTTTCACTCATGACTTTCTTTTGCCACAGTATTTACACACTGTGACAGTTTTGTCGAATATTTAATTATCAGTATAGTTACAGTTTTGTCGAATATTTAATTATCAGTATAGTTACAGTGAAGCCAAAATGCTCTCATACTGGGGATTTAAATGACGCGGGGCTTTCAAGCTCCTCCGTTCCTCTGCTCACCGTGACCACGCTGTGTGGACTGAACAACGTTCACACAACTTTTTTTTCATGAATCAAACCGCGGATCACGTCTGTACCGAACCGAAGACGTTGAACCGCATGGATCATTGATGAACCGTTGGCCTCTAGTCAATAGGGACCTGCCCTGGGGGGAGCTCGTAGGGGGTTAAAAGTTCAAAAATATAGCTGGGTGCCAGACCTAAACGAGCTTTAGTAGTAATCAGTAAAATCTTAAAAATACATTCTAAAATGCACAGGGAGCCAGTGGAGAGACCCTTAAAAAGGGGTGATGTGCTCCCTTCTGTTAAAACCAGTGAGAAGTCTGGCTGCAGCGTTCTGAACCAGTTGGAGGCGGGAGAGAGATTCAGAGTCGAGACAGGAGAGGAGGGAATTGCAGTAATTGAGGCGGAAGAAGATGAAGGCATTGACGACTTTATGGAGATCGAGAGGAGTGAGAATGTTTTTAATCTTTGAGATGGTGCGGAGGTGAAAGAAACAGGATTGGGTGGTTTTTTTGATGTGGGAGCGGAAGGTGAGTTGAGAATCAAATGATTTTGCTGATGATCTATTATGGAGATTGGCCTGTAGTTAGTTAACAAGTGCTTTTTGTAAATGTGCAAAATGTGGTTTTTGACTTTTCTCTGCTTTAAACATGATTACAATGCTATTTGGCCTTCATACACAAGCCCACAGTAGTTTATTCATTGATTCTGTCAATCTTTTGTAAGAGAAAAATCTGTCTCCTTCCCCAGTGCGAGGCACAGAAACGCTCGGGTCCACTTCAGTGACGAAAACCACACTGATGACGCGCATGACCCCGTTTGCTTTGTATTTAAAATTGTTGTTAAATACTTTTGTCAAAACGGGGTAAACAATACACAATTAGTATGCTGTTTTTGTCAAAAATAATAAAAATAAAAATAAATTAAAAGCCAGCGGGAGGTGATTGACTGATCAAAACAGCGAATCAGAGCGCACAGGCTCCGGCTCCCGAGTCCAGCGTCTGTGGTCTGGTCTCGCGGACACCACATAGAGCTGCTGTTTTTATGCTTTTGTCAGCGACTAAAAGTGTTAGGATCACGTCAACTTGAATGAAGTGTGTTATGGGTGTAAATATGCGACACACTATTTGGCCCTAAGAGGAAGAAAGCGGCTCGACTTTTTTCATCTGTTCATCTCATGGATCTATTATAATACCGGTTCATCTGCGACACTTCACTGAGACTGTTCCAGAACTACAGGGACAATGGAACTGGACTTACTCAAAAGCTGATCTGGAAACACGTTATTCCCACGGTAAAAGACGTAACTCGGACCCCCTCGATCTGTAAGTAGTGACGCTAACTCGCTGTATACTTCTGTAAACTAAATAACTAGGGTCTGATTGTGTATCGAGGACATAGGGCTCGATGTGACGGATTGTCATTGTTGGAAAAAGTTTATTCTTATGTATGAAATTACTAAGTACAGGTGATAAACGACAAAAGCGTGATGCTACGTCACCGTGCGGGCGGGGGGAGGCGGGCTCACAGACAGAGGAGCAGACTCTTCTCTGGATCAGCTAATCTAATCTAATCTCACAAGCTTTGATTGTTGTGTGGTGTATCATAAACATTAATATCACACATGTGTATAGGATTGAGTGTGAAACATGAAGAAAAGCGTGATATAGGACCTTTAATGGATTGTCAGAGCTGAACATTACTTCTCACTGCAGCAGCCATCTTGGAACACATGTGACATAAGAGATCCTTTATTCGTCCCACAGTGGTGAAATTTCAACGTTGCAGCACACAGACAGGACAGTAGAACAGAAAATAGGTAGTAGCTATGTATCTTAACTAGCTGTAAATGCTTCAATACCGGTCTTTTGAAAAAAAATATATATACAGTGGGGCAAAAAAGTATTTAGTCAGCCACCGATTGTGCAAGTTCTCCCACTTAAAATAATGACAGAGGTCTGTAATTTTCATCATAGGTACACTTCAACTGTGAGAGACAGAATGAAAAAAAAATCCAGGAATTCACATTGTAGGATTTTTAAATTATGGTGGAAAATAAGTATTTGGTCACTTCAAAGAAGGAAGATCTCTGGCTCTCACAGACCTGTAACTTCTTTAAGAAGCTGTTCTGTCCTCCACTCGTTACCTGTATTAATGGCACCTGTTTTAACTGGTTATCTGTATAAAAGACACCTGTCCACAGCCTCAAACAGTCAGACTCCAAACTCCACTATGGCCAAGACCAAAGAGCTGTCGAAGGACACCAGGAAAAGAATTGTAGACCTGCACCAGACTGGGAAGAGTAAGTCTACAATAGGCAAGCAGCTTGGTGTGAGCAATTATCGGAAAATGGAAGACATACAAGACCACTGATAATCTCCCTCGATCTGGGGCTCCACGCAAGATCTCATCCCGTGGGGTCAAAATGATCATCAGAACGGTGATCAAAAATCCCAGAACCACACGGGGGGACCTGGTGAATGACCTGCAGAGAGCTGGGACCAAAGTAACAAAGGTTTCCATTAGTAACACACTACGTGCATTTCCAGGCCCGTCTGAAGTTTGCCAGAGAGCACATGGATGATACAGCAGAGGATTGGGAGAATGTCATGTGGTCAGATGAAACCAAAGTAGAACTTTTTGGTATAAACTCAACTCGTCGTGTTTGGAGGAAGAAGAATACTGAGTTGCATCCCAAGAACACCATACCTACTGTGAAGCATGAGGGTGGAAACGTCATGCTTTGGGGCTGTTTTTCTGCTAAGGGGACAGGACGACTTATCCGTGTTAAGGAAATAATGAATGGGGCCATGTATTGTGAGATTTTTAGCCAAAATCTCCTTCCATCATTGAGAGCTTTGAAGATGAAACGTGGCTGGGTCTTCCAGCATGACAATGATCCCAAACTAACCGCCCGGGCAACGAAGGAGTAGCTCCGTAAGATGCATTTGAAAGTCCTGGAGTGGCCTAGCCAGTCTCCAGACCTCAACCCCATAGAAAATCTGTGGAGGGAGTTGAAAGTCCGTGTTGCTCGGCGACAGCCCCAAAACATCACTGCTCTCGAAGATCTGCATGGAGGAATGGGCCAAAATACCAGCTACTGTGTGTGCAAACCTGGTAAAGACCTATGGTAATCGTTTGACCTCTGTTATTGCCAACAAAGGTTATATTACCAAGTATTGAGTTGAATTTTTGTTATTGACCAAATACTTATTTTCCACCATAATTTACAAATAAATTCTTTAAAAATCCTACAATGTGAATTCCTGGATGTTTTTTTCACATTCTGTCTCTCACAGTTGAAGTGTACCTATGATGAAAATTACAGACCTCTGTCATTATTTTAAGTGGGAGAACTTGCACAATTGGTGGCACTCGCAGAGCAAGTACTATGTATGGAACGTTTATACCCGGACTCT